TTTTAAGGATTTAAAGATAGTTTCTGCATGAGAAATGCCTGAAATCATAAACTTTGACGGTTAATTTCTCATATATTGTTCTTTAAACAGCTGTGTGGTTAAACGCTTGTAACTTCATAATGAAATGTCCGATTTGAATGATTTTTTTACCATTTTATAGCTATTATTTTACTCTCTGACACTTTGGTAATAACTCAAAATTGATTTTTGCGACGAGTGACTGGTTTGGCTTGTGTTTGCCACATATGTTGATCAAGGTTCCTCTAGTGGGGTCACATAGCATGTTTTACTCTATTGCTAGATGTTCTTTGATTGCAGGTCCAATGAGTCTTGCTATTTACATGTCTGATGCAGATGCACAGCAGTTCTTACTCTATGCACAATCTTCAGACATATTAAGAAGTCGAAGAGATGTTAGCTACCATATAGTTTACAAAGATGGGGTAGGTAGATACTTGATAACCTCTTCTAGAAATGTGTAGTGATCACAAAAGATAGTACCATTATTATTAATTATTTAATATTTATAATAATATGTTGGGCTACATTATGTATCATGCCCAGGCTTCTATGTACATACTACACATTTACTAATGTACTCTTTGCAGCTAGTAAACAGTGCAGTGGCTTGCAAGCTTACCCAAAATTTTACTGGCTGGAGATAGAAAATATGGATAAGGTGACTTGCCAGGGACATGCCCTGAACAAGGATTTCACCTTTAAACTCTTGATCTTTTGAAGCCCAAACTTGTATCATTACTCAGTAACAAACCTTCTCTGGCCCTGGCAATTGCCTTCCTTCTTGCTAATTCTCTTTTTGTCCTTATATTTACAGCAATTTTACCCAGTTAATCATCTACGTAACATTGCTTTAAAAGAAGTCAAGACGCCATATGTTTTCTTGGCGGATATCGATTTTTTGCCAATGTACGGACTGTACAGTTACCTTAGGAAAATGATTGGCACATTAGATGTGGCCAACACAAACAAGGTAATGTACTTTGTATGTAGGGAGTTTGTGAGGGAGTATGGATGGATTATGAAATGGGGTGTTGGTAGGGTGTGAACAACACAAAACTGTGCATTTAACTTTATTGTTAAATTGGAATTTTGTATTATTCCTGTATCATCTGTCTTACTGTTGATCTTGATCAGTAGCATACATAGGAATCTTGAAATTAGGTTGGCCCTAATGGGGATTTGAAGGTGAATTGTGGGGGAGGGGGTGGGTGATGATTAAGTGAGGGGGACTAGCTTGCAAAATATGATGATATGAGGTGATTTTTATTTTACCTGTGCTTGATTTTTTTGCTGCACCTAGATATGCCAACTGATTTTGATTTGTAGAAAAAAATTTCTATTACCAGTTGATCTAGAATTTTCATATTCTGCACCCGCATATATCCTTCTACGCTTGCTGAAATTTAAACATCCCACACCCCCTCCCTCATGTCCCCCTAGATATACCAATTATTTTGATTTGTAGAAAATATTTCTCTTACCAGTTGATCTGTCATTTATTCTGAACCTGCATATATCCTTCTATGCCTCCTGAAATTTAAACATTTTGAGCTTTGAAGCAGTAATATACGATCTTGAAATACAGAATCTATATAAATGTTATATACTGTAATACATACATTAGAGATGAGTTTAAAATGTTTGTTTAAAAGTCTATTATCATGAATTAATAAAAGGTGTCATTAAGTCTATAGTCAACAAACAGTAGTAATTAGTTGCTAATCCTTCATTTGAACTTGTTAATTATATTTTACAGGCTTTGGTTGTTCCTGCATTTGAAACACTTCATTACCGTATAAATTTTCCTAAATCTAAAACGGATCTATTGCACATGTTGGATATGGGTTCTCTGTTTACGTTTCGATACCATGTGTGGCAGAAAGGTCATGCTCCCACTAACTTTCCAAAATGGAGGACATCAACAATGCCATACAAGGTATGTAATTGTTATTGAATGTTACATATTTTTATATTAGAACAAAGCTTGATCAACCCAAAATCTTTAAAATCTAGGGTCACATTCTTTTTTCTTTTTTTTTGCCAAATCAATTTTCCATGGAGGAGACCATAATACTTGTAAAATGTTTGAAAAGGTAACTTTTCAAACTTTTAAGTTAACTTTTAAAATATTGTTAATCTGTACTTAAAAATTACAGATTAACAATATTTTTAATATCATAATATTTGATAAATACAGTAATATCTTCTAAATAAATGATGATAAATTTTAAGTGAATTGGTATTCATTTTTATTCCGCTTTATATATAGATCCAGTGGGATACTGACTTTGAGCCGTACATTGTAGTGAAAAAAGACTGCCCTCAATACGACCCAAGATTTGTTGGCTTTGGTTGGAATAAGGTTGCACAAATTATGGAAATCGATGCCCAGGGGTATGTGTTGTTATTATGTACTTGTTAATAAAAGGTGAATAACGCATAACTTGCAGCGTCATTGTGTTGAATTACTATTGGGTGTATGGGTGTGGTCCGTGCCTACCTTGCCGCTGTAAAGAGGCGTTTATAGTAGTTTCATGTTCACATCATTCCACCACAGGGGCTGAAATGAACCAAAGCATTGGGGTAACCCCCTACTCTTCTGGAGGTGTAAACTGGACCATTATTGTAAGTCCTTATCCAAGAAAACTTGGTTCTACAAACCAAACCCTGGGCTAGGAGCGGCTCGAACCAGCGCTGATGTAGTTAGCGGTGCCCCTGCCTAACCGCTTGATCACCTGACTAGTGCAAATGAAAAATGTATATATGAAATTTCTATATAAAAAATGTATTTGTCTTTCATCTCATTCAATAATTACATAAAATTCTTTGTTTCAATTTTTATCAGGTATGAATTTGTAGTTCTTCCAAATGCATTCATTATACATATGCCCCATACACCAAGCTTTGATATAGCAAAGTTCAGGTCAAGCTCAACGTACAGGAAGTGAGTCTGTTACATGTCTATATTTTCTGATTAGCTGTTGGTCGTGTCTGCTTTAACAATACAGTTGATATGTAACTTAAGAATTTTTAGCTATGTAATTATTATTTGTTAATGTTTTTATTCTGCACATTGTGTGACTGACATTGGTTTATTTTGTCTACCCTGCTCCCCTTCATTACTGTGAATTTTGATGTTTATTTTGTAATATTTTTTTTGTCTTATTCACAGGTGTTTAAAAGTATTAAAAGATGAATTCAGGAAAGATTTGTCCAAGAAATATGGTTTTGGTGCTCTCAAATATGTTGCAACAGAATGACTGGATCATTTAGTATATTTATTTAACAAATATTTATTGAGGTTCAAACGTTCAGGGAGTAACTTCGAGCAGTTCTGTCACAGGCTGGCATGTTTAGCATAGTTGCGGCACCAGATGGGTGTATGGTGGGGTTTCACAAGACCCCTGACGGGAAAGCCTGAACCCCCGTTGGAGAAGCAGACAATCATGTCAGGGAACACTAGACCCTAAGTTAAGGGCAGGGCAAGGGTGGCACCAGAGGGGTTCAGCAGCCTGCTAGGCAATCACGGCTGGCAGGGAACTGCCAGAAGTATTAATCAGGGGGAAATGGTTTTCCACCAATGTGTGGTTCTGTGTTGCTTCACAACCAACAGGCATAGAGAAAAATCCATCACCACCACTTTAAATTATATGGTACAGTATACTGTATTATTTTTTTAATCCAAAAATTGGCACCACACTAGTCAGCTAGTTAGAGCCAGTAAAAAACAAGATGCACTGTACTGTATAATGAAATGATGTAGATTGTTAATACAGCATTTGTGAGCAAGGCTAGCATTGAGATGTAATTGCCAAAAAAAAAATCAGGAAATGATTATAATGAAAAATAAAAGCAGAATACAATGCAAGCTGTTTAAGAAATCAGGCATCTAAAATCTGATAGGATAGTTTGACATTACAAGGTCTCCACAACTACAATGCATTAGGAAATGATGAGCCTATAACCAATTACATTTAATTTACACTGCCATTTGTTTTCTTTTCACCATAATTGTCTTCCAATTAATTATTCATTGATGCTTATACTAATCAAGTTAGCTTAGGAGTCTCTTAATTTGGTGTGGCCGTATATATTTGATTATATGTAATATTATAGTAAGAATTTTTTCTGTGTTGTATGAATTATTAGTTACGTTTTATTGTGTATTTATGATAGTTATTTCTCCTCCATATTTGTCACGTATTTTATGTTTAGAAATTATATCGTGTTATGATACCACAAGGTTGCACTTTCTTTATGGAACTTGGTATCCAGTGACCAGGAATAACATTTTCTGCACCTCTGATTAGGTTCCTGAATGGGTAATGCATTATTAATGCTGGGTTACAATTATTAGTCTTAAATGATCTTAATAGATGACAAATAAGTGCTATACATACAGGTGAATGTAAATGTTGAGTCTTTGAGTACATATGATACAATAGCCCCTTTCACACAGGCACAGAATAGCCCCTTTCACACAGGCACAATGCTTGACCTGACCCACAAATGTAGTGCGTTAGTTTGTCGGTGTAAAAGGGAGAAATGTGGCTTGATGTTTTTTATCATCAAGACACTAATAAACAACCCATAGGCAGATTAAACCTGTCCACATAAATTTGAAAAATTATATTAAATTTAAGTCTGGGAGGCCATTTTCAGCAATCTAGGGGTGCTATATCCATAAAATATCGTACCTTAGCTCCAACCATGGTGGGGCTGAGGTGTTGTGGACCTTCCACTGTAAAAGTCCATTCCCGGGCCGCCTTTATTTTAAATTCTTGGATCCACCTCTGCAAACGATTTCTAACAAAATAATATTGTTGGAATAAGTCAACTAAGCCTTTGTAGGCTTACAAAACATGGTAGCATTATAATAATGTACAGCAATAATTTATAATAAGCGCTGCTTTTCAATAATCTCCTTTTGCAGTGGCGGATTCAAGGGCCCAGCCGACCCGGATACCTTAAATTTTTGAAAATTATAAAAAAAGTGCCATAATCATTAACTTTTTTTATGTTAGCCCAACCATGGTAGGCTGAGGTGGTGTAGACCCTCCGTTTGTGAAAGGCCCTCCCTGGGGCCCCTCTATTTTTTATGCCATCCACCGCTGTTTTGGATAAAATGCCACACTGAAGCCTCCAAAGATTTAACAAGTGCTGCAGTGCTTTTTTGATCATTTACAGTATGCATTTTTTATGATGGGTTCCAGCACATTCTTAATTATTATAGAAAAAATAAACCACAACTTTGCATTGTAAGGATTATGTACTAAATTCAGTAGACTTGTTATGCTGTATAGGTCATATTAAAACAGGTACCATATGTACAAAAAGGAGAGAATAATTTACATATTTTGTTATTTCAATTATTTGTCTACACAATTCTTGAGTGTATGATTATTTTCATCAACATAGCTTGTTACCTACAAATATATAAATCATGAAGTTTTGGTTTGGCACTTAAGATGCTCACCCTATAATCCCAGAGTCTTTGGTTCAGTCCTAACAAAATAGGCAACGTCTTGTACAGACTCTATAACTAAATGTCTAACAGCTGCTTCGGTGTCCTTTAAGCCTCATTCACACCAAATCTGAATGTTCAGGACGGGAGGCCTACTGAACATATCGGATCAAATTAGTGTGTAAGAATAGGGATGCTGGGATGCTGGCATTCAGCACATCGGAAACACGGATCCGATGTGAATGTAGATTTAGAGTTCCACTGCTATACATCAAGTATGTTCAGCCATTCTGAATAAAAAAAAAACCCCTAAAATATGGTATAGTCTTTGTATTTAAAATGTATGGACATTCTACATTTTGGTCACAAATTAATACTCTTGAAAACATACAATGAATTGATTGACAATGTGGAAATTGTCATCTACTGTATCTAGTATGTACATGTTTTTACTCTGTGAATGTTTAAATTTTATATTTGGTCAATAAATCTTTAAAAATTACTAAAATAGAGTGTCTTTTTAAGTTATCATGTCAAAACTTTAACAATCATAAACTGGTGCTGCTTATACTGCAGTAGCGTATTATTCTCTGGATGCACTTACTGTGATAGAATTTGAACTTTGGTTAAAATATTTAATTGCTAAATTGCCAGGATCTATAGGCTACAGTATCCCACATACCTAATAATGACGATAGTTCGCTAAAAGTAAATTTAAATTTGGTTACAGGCTACAGTATATCCAACTTTGTATATACTGCCAATGGTATCAACTACCGATATCTTGTAACTACAGATACGATGTGCCAAACTTTGCCATCACACGCATACACACAAGAACGAACACCAAGGCATGGAGAACTTGACAAATAGAATAACAAGGGAGAATAATTAAAGGTAGAATACACAAAAAACAAGTGACCAGAGACAATTTCATTCCAAACAATTTATTCCAAAATTTAGAACGCTGACTATACTAACAAATACTGTAGTATAAAATATGGAACAAGTTTCGTTAAATTATTTCCTTATGAAATAAAAACATGTTTTTTTATGTACAGTGAAGTAGTAATAAAATCAGACTTAAATATAAAACTTGAGGCCAACTTATACATTGGAGCATATCATTCAGAGCAGTTATTGTATCCAGGGAAGCAATGTATCCAGGGCAGTGGTATATCCAGAGAAGCAATATTGTTAAAGCCTTTTCATTTAGTAATGCGTAAATATTTTAAGTCAATATATTCTAACTTTGCTCTCAATTCAGATTTCTTGCTGTAAACAAGTTATTTTATGAATATAATTTTTTTATGGGAATATATAAACCAGAATATAAGCAATACTGTATATCCAAAGGAACAGTATATCCAGGGCAGTGGGCATTGAAAACAAGCACCCATAATCAACCTACTCCTGCACTCATTAACCAATTTGATGATGGACATATTCACATTCATATTATCACTGAACCTCATTTGGAACCGGCCGACACTGCCAAATCCCTCAATATCCATCAAGGAGGAAAATGTGAAGATGTTGATACTGTTACTGCCAACATTTAGTCAGGTAGAGACTCCTGTAATTCATCTTGGTTATCAGTAGATGATCCTAGTAAGATAAAACCCAATCCCTGCAAAATCAAGAAATAAAATGAGGATTAGGCAAATATTATCAGACATTAGGCCCAATTTACATACTATTTTCTCTCATTTGAATTTAAATTTACACTTCCATTAGTTTTGTCAAAGATCATGATATATATAATATATTCAATCTTTCATTCATCCATTTATTCATTTGTTTACTCTTTCACAAATTCATTCATACATACTTTCATTTATATATTTGCTTATTCCTTTACTAAAATAAATAAAATTTACATAGAAAAAAAAAATTTAATAACAAATGCATAAAAAATTGATAAGGTGAGATTCACATATTCAATATATAATATATTCAATCTTTCATTCATCCATTTATTCATTTGTTTACTCTTTCACAAATTCATTCATACATACTTTCATTTATATATTTGCTTATTCCTTTACTAAAATAAATAAAATTTACATAGAAAAAAAAAATTTAATAACAAATGCATAAAAAATTGATAAGGTGAGACGTTTTTATAACTTGTTTAGCGAGCCCGGCAATAATGATGATTTCAAATAAAAATTAAATTCTATTTTTGGCCAATTAGCACACCCGCTGCCACAAAAAAAAATTGAAATTTCAGAAAAGAATTGAAGTTTTTCCTTATTTTTATCATGCCGGCCGCTGCCTTGAAATAACTATGCATATTTCTCCCTAATTATATAATTTTAAGGCATATAACCATCCCATTAATCATTTACGTTCACCAATAAAATTTTAATTGTATTTTCTCCTCCGTCTGGATGTTTTTGGCAAAACCATTTGCCTAAATAAGAAAACCAAATTTTATTATTATTTTTTTCGCCCTCCTCTGACGGTCTATGCAAAAATAAATTTGTAAAACAAAGGTATAAAAAAGTCTTCCCAAAGCAAAGTAGTGCGATTGTACCTTCCAATGGTTTGGTCTGTCTTTGAATGGATTATCCCGTAAATCCACCTTAGTCAGTTTTGCAAGTCCAACAAGTTGGTCATCAGGTACAGAAGTCACTTTATTCTTAGATACCAATAATGTATTCAACCGGGATTGCTTTAGACAACATAGTGGCATCATTTCCAAATCATTGTCACTTACATCAAGATAAGATAGATTATGAAGTTTAGAGTAACAGTCCGGAATGTGCGTGAGTTTGTTTGATGCCAAACTCAACCACTGTAGATGCTGGAGCTGGGAGAGTTCTGAAGGCAAGTCTCTGATATGATTTCCCCTAGCTCCAAGTTTCTGTAATCTATGCAGCAAGCCTAGCTCAGGCGGCAATGCTGTAAGCTGAGCATTAACAATCCATAGCTGTTCTAAACTTTTCAGGTCCCCAATTTCTGGCGGAAGAAATCCCAATTGATTATGGCTTACGCTAAAGTACCTCAAATTAGTCAATTGTCCGATTCCCGATGGAAGCATTGTAAGGCTATTATGGTCCAATGATAGTTCCTGAAGATTTACTAACGATATCAGTTCAGAAGGTGGCATTATTAAATCATTGTTATTTAGAAGCAGTCGTCTGCAGTGTGTAAGTCGTTGGATAACTGGGGGTAGGATTTTAAGATTTCGATGACTGAGATTGACTGTTTTTCCTTGCTTTGCTGATATTTCAGCTATGTATTCTTCTACCATTAATGTGTGTGAAGCGAGGCTTACTTGTTGGTCTCTACCGGCTGATATATTCATCTTCCTAGTAAACGTTCAATATCTGAAAAATATACTAAGACACATAGGCCTATACTCATCAACTGTGAATAAAGTACAAAAGCATCTGAATTTGATCAAAGGATGGCTAAGTTGTCCAACGGAAGTCTGTGTATTTTCGATGGGAGGGGGAGGGGGAGGGGACAGGAGATGGGAGACTTAATTTCCCCGCTGCCGCTGCAATTGTCCAATTTTTTTAAAGCTATTTAAACTATAAAAAAAAAGAGATATTTTTTTAACACATATTTTATGCACAAAATTTTAGAAGGCGGCAAAGAAATTCCCTCCCGTTTTTGGTCCAGTGTGTAAGGGATTATTTTCCTTTTGATCGCCTTTTCCAACCCCGCTGACATTATGTTGTCACTTCCATCCACCGCCCAAATCTGAGCCGATTTAAAATGGCTAGGCTAGCTAGACGCTAGTAACCGCGAACGGAATGTTCGATTTAAGTCGGCCGTAGTTAAGGCGGCCCCTAACCGATACTGTGATAGATAGGCCTAACTAGGCTAGCCAAGGCCTTGCGGCTAGGCAAGCCTATTATTATCGCTAGGCCCTTCTAGCCTAGCAAGAGAGTATAGAAGATCATTGTCAATACTTATTGAATAAGCTTTGGCATACATACCTTTAATCAATAAACACACATAGTATCCCTAGGCTTTAATTTCGGGCATTTTTTGGACTAGGCCTGCCTACCAATTCTTATCATAGACCCAGGTTATAGAACCGAATACTGCTGTATAATTTTCGCGTTTGTAATGTTTGACTATTCATACGACGGACATAGATGTTATGTGCACGGACGGCTGTGTCTCCAACACCCTTCTAACAGAAGACCTATCTGCAGCCCCAAAGTGAACATCTATTTATTATTATTACAGTATTATATATTATTGTTTTTCTAATTATAATACAAACTGCAAAACCATTTTTAGTTGTATATAATGAATATTTATTTATTTATTTATTATTATTATTGATATATATATTATTATATTTTCAAAACAAAATTTAATGACAAGAAAGACCGACGTCTGGGTCCATCATGGAACCATTCTCAAGATCAAGTAAATTGAAAAAACTAAAAACAAAAATTAAAAAAAAAACTAATTAATTAACATATCAATAGGGCCTGCTGTGTGGAGCCATAGCGGAGACACCCTACTTTTTATTTTTGTTTTTAGTTTTTTCAATTTACTTGATCTTGAGAATGGTTCCATGATGGACACGAAACGTCGATCTTTCTTGTCATTAAATTTTGTTTTTGAAATTATAAAGTAAGCGTCTCTTAATTCGATATTATTATAATTATATTTATTACTATTACTATACTACAGTATTATTGTTATTATTATTATTATTATTATTATTATTATTATTATTATCATTATTATTATTTTTATTATCATTGTTATATTATTATTATTATTATCATCATCATCATCATCATTATTATTATTATTATCATTATTATTCAACGTCGAAACAACATCAAAATATTATTATTATTCAAAATTATTATTTACTGTCAAATGTATTAATATAAATTCAAAAAATGTATTTAAAAAAAATTAGCCTATCCATTATTAAAAGTATTATGGTTTTCTAATGTTGTTTATTGATATGTATGGATTAAGTTATTACACGTTATTTCCAACAGAGATGTTGAGTACAGAACAATTCACAAAGACCTCATTAATAAAATTCTTTTTTTTAATGTCTGTATTGAATTTAAAATAAAAATAGTGGGTTCCACTCTCATTTTATTTTTTTGAAAATTAGAGTAACTTAATAACATACTTAAATTGAAGCAATTGAAATAGATAATTGCATTTTTCTTTACATCTTCCTAATGAAAGTGCATCTAATTTCACTCGGCCTAGTGCATCTCTCTTTAATCTCATGATTGTGTATTAATAATAATCCATCCAGCGGCCTTATTGTTGATTGGTCGAGAGTCCGTTACCAATAAAGGTTGCTGAGTGTGATGTCACGCAGCAACAAAGTAAACAACTCCATATTTAGCGAGCGACTAATGGCCATGTACTGTATGAATAAGGAACTGACTGACTGAGATGTAGAGTTTTTATCGTACTTAGGAAGTAAGTATAGTACAGTAGTATGTTAATTAATCAGGAACTTGAAATTGAAGCTAACATGTTGAATATAACACAGTAGCATTTTACATCAGATTCAGTAGGCTTTGCCTTATAATTACAAGCCCGTGGCCGTAGCCAGGTTCTTCAAAGGAGAGGTTTTCTGGGCGTGAGTTCCACGGTCGAAGCCCTAGCCTAGCTAGGCCCTAGTGGGGTCGGAGAAACCCCCAAAGCAAGAGGATTTTTGTGCTATGGGTCTAAATAATGCTATAAAAGCAGATATGTGCCTGGGTGGGTCTGCAGTGCATTAGTTGCTAGAAAAGGGGGGGGGGTCTCCCGAACCATATAAAAAACTCCCCTGGATACAGGCCTGATTTAGTTATTATTCAAATGCCACGCATGTTGTTGCTGCTGCTCAGTTTTGCTGTGGGTGTCCCGAAAGCAGACCACGAAAGCAAGACCTGAGACCACGATATATCAGACCCACGCGAAATATCAGACCCCGCAAATTAAGAGTCACCCTCAACTAAGTATTCCAAACTACTACTACTGTACTAGAAGATAGACTATGACCTTGGGTGTCTATAAAACAAAGACCGAAGACCTAAGACCCGAAAACGAAGACCCCTATTTTTTCTATTTTATTTTGATGATAATGAACCTGGCTGTCACAAAATCAAAATTACAAAATTTTTTGGCCATCTGTTTGTGAAATTATATTCAAGAGTCTTTGTTTTATAGACGTCACCCTATGTGTGTCTACAAAACGAAGACCGAAGACCTGAAAAATGCCGCCTTCAGTTATTTCGCAATTATCTTATTGTAAGTATTTCAAAATCATCATAAAACAGTTGCCAAGTATATATTTCATTATTTCATCGGAATAAAATTAGGAATATAAAGGAATACTTAAGGGTCTTCATTTTATAGACACCCTATATGGGTGTCTATAAAACGAAGACCAAAGACCCAAAAACGAAGACCCCTATTTTTTCTCTTTTGTTTTGATGATAATATACCTGGCTGTCAAAAAATCACAATTACGAGGTTATTTGAACTTTAGTTTGTGAAATTATCAAAGGTCTTCGTTTTATAGACACCCATATATGGGTGTCTACAAAACGAAGACCGAAAAAGAAGACCCACATTTTTTTCTCTCAATCGATCGTGATGAAAATAATGTTTTTAAATCACATCATGCTATATATAGTATTCGTCTTTTTAGTACATTATTTCCTGAATCGGGGTCAATTTAATGATTTACTTTTTATTCCAGTTCCAAAGCAGCAGCCATAATGTTGTTCCATGGCTGGCGGCAGAGCGCGTGTCTTGGCGCTGGTGCTAAAATGACGAATACTATATACATAGCATGAAGTGATTTAAAAATATTATTTTCATCACAATTGAGAGAAAAAAAATGTGGGTCTTCGTTTTTCGGTCTTCGTTTTGTAGACACCCATATAAGGTGTCTATAAAACGAAGACCCTTTATTATCTCATCCATTCCATGTTGGTTTCACTACCAAATGACTGATGCTGCACATATGCATCACTATGCAACATTCCTACCTGCTTATTTTAACATGAAACAAGTTTGTGAATGAAGTATTCAAGGCCTTTGTAGGCCCCCAAATTACGCGTACCGCTAGGACAGCCTTACTTTCGTTGGAGGGCAGCAGCGCCAAGACGCGCTCTGCCGCCAGCCATGGAACAACATTATGGCTGCTGCTTTGGAACTGGAATAAAAAGTAAATAATTAAATTGACTCCGATTCAGGAAATAATGTGCTAAAAAGACAAATACTATATATACTTAGCATGGAAGTGATTCAAATCATTATTTTCATCACGATTGAGAGAAAAAAATGTAATGTGGGTCTTCGTTTTTTTCGGTCTTCATTTTGTAGACACCCATATATGGGTGTCTGTAAAACGAAGACCTTTGATAATTTCACAAACTAAAGTTCATATAACCTCGTAATTGTGATTTTGTGACAGCCAGGTGTATTATCATCAAAATAAAAGAAAAAAATAGGGGTCTTCATTTTTGGGTCTTCGGTCTTTGGTCTTCGTTTTGTAGACACCCCTTCTAAGGTTAGAATAATGTATTAAAAAAATTCCTTTTTGAATTTTTTCATGCATTAATCTGACCTCCTTATAATAATTTCCACTAGTGTATGATATGCAACTCTACTATTGCCTAATACATAAATAAATGTGACACTTGTGTATGAATATTATATGGCTAGTTGTAACTCCATACCAAAGTTACTATCCCATCAAATAATTTTATTGACATACAATAATCACTGAAATTCAAAATCGGTGTATGAAAGAGAACTGCTAAACTGTGATGAGTATTCTGTAAGTTTAAAGCCCCATTCCCGGCAAAATTTCACTAATAATGATTTTTTTTTAGAAAAAATGAATATGCATTACTCTATTATAAACAATGGAAAAATATTGGCATAAATTGTAGTTTCACGCAAAAGAATACAAAATGAGAAATTACCATTTTCTTGATGAATTCTTCTTCTGAGTTATTTATAGAGGAGAGCAGTCAGAGTGGATTAATGTAACATCTGGGGTCCCTCAAGGTTCTGTGTTGGGCCCGCTTCTCTTCCTAATTTATGTTAGTGACATTGTAAATGATATCTCATCATCAATATTTCAGTTTGCAGATGACCATACTCTCTCCCACCAAATCAATAATATTAGGGACTGTATGCTCTTCATCAAGATCTTGACATGATATACAATTTGTCAGTTGTCAATAAATTACCTCTAAATGTGCTACTATGCATATAAGTAAGAACCCAATTAAATGGGATTATAAAATAAATAATATTTACTTAGAAAAAGTAAATGAATTTAAATTACTTGGTGTTTTTATAAATAATAAACTTTCATGCTATAAACAAGTAAATTATATTTGTTCTAAATCATCACAATTACTAGGTTTTATTAATAAGTGTAGTAAAAATATGTCATGGGCTGTAATGTTAAATGTATATAAAGCATTGATTCTTCCAATTATTACTATTGTTGTGCAATGTGGGCACCAGGTGACAAAACTAATATTAATAGAATTGAAAGCA